GAATTTCCCGCGAAAACCTACCCGTACCACTCAAATTAGAAAACATTATTATAAGATAACCGTTGTGAATCGGGCTAAAGTAAGGCGATAGTTTTGAACACTGGCTGGTTATGTACTTGCTCAAATATTGATTTCGGATCATTTTTTACCAAAAAAAGTTACGGACTGCAGCTTTAATCATGGTTTTACTATGGTAAAAGTGTAGTAACCATTTTTTACATTTATTTTTTTTTTTGCAGATTACCATTTGTATAACCACAATTTTACTACAAATACCATGGTTAAACTATGGTTAGTTTAGAAAAACTCGGGTTAATTTGTGGTTACTAATACTATGGTTTAACTACAATTTTTTTGGTTTTATTTGTTGTAAAACCATGATTAAACTTTTTTCCCTGTCATTCCATTTTATTACACAACTTAATTTCTGAAATTATTTATTTTGTTTTATTTGTATGTATGGATTACTTGGGCTGTTATCAACATCTGGTGAAATTTCATGTCAACAGCATCTTTAGAAATACATTTACTGAGAAAAATGGTGATGCGTTCAATACTTATTTTGCCCGCTGTATATAGGCACGGCCAATGAATTGGCCAATATCTGGACTTTGACTAAACATTGTGTAAATGAAGCATACACTTATTTCAACAATTGTCTCATTTGAAGGTGAAAATATGATGCAAGATGAGCAGTGCACTGTACCTTGTAAACTCTTCTCCAATTCTTCTTGTTGTCTTTCAGCATTCTAGTCCAAAGCATGTTCATAACTTCAGGGAACTGCTCGTACATAAATGTGGATCTGCAGTAAGGTAGATTAGTCACATTATGTACAATGACTTTATACTAAACGGATAAAGTTTTTAAACCTTGTATTATGTTAATTGATCAGGTATGACGATTTAGGAATGTATTAACAATCAGAACACAAAAACTACTTCCAATAGGAATATAAGGTTTTGTAACCAGTTGTATAATATGGCATGTTTTTCAACCTGTCAAAAAACAGGAATTAATACCACTGACAAACTAATCAGCTTTAAAGATATTTGTATATTTTCCCAAAATTTGTAGTCTTTTTTTTTAATGATATTATTGGTTATTTTTGTGTTTCTTATGAAAAATGTGTTGGTAGTACTAACACAGGGTTTCTCTATCAGGGTTTAGCATATTAAAATACTGCCTAACCCTGATTGTTTACAGTAATTTAACACAAGACACTAAATTCATGTAAAAACGACATGAGGATGTAATGACTAAACTTTCAGATGATCTCAAGTCTAAGGCATTATGCAAAGCAACTGTAATCATCAGCTATCAATGATGAGATAATTCTGAAGTAATTGCCCTACACAAATGTTCTGTGGTAGTTGAGAGTAGAGTCAGTGAATGCCTGAAGACTGAAAGGGAGCACGTAGTCCTCTTACCACCCAGCAGGCTGAGCACTTACTTGGCAATCTCACCCATGAGCTGACCCGATGGGCCCCAGGAGTCATCATTGGTGGCTTCTCGAACCTTGGACTCTATCTCGGAGTAGTTCATCACAACATTGGTGCTGGGAAACAGTGAAAAACAAAGAACCACAAATAAACACCAGGCAACCACACACAGACACACAAGTCCATTTATTGTTACACATGGAGGTGTTGAAATAAAAAAAACTCTCTCGAGCCGGTCAGCTTTGGTCGACTGGTGTGTATTTTGGACTGATAGAAGAAAACATGTTGCCAAAGTTTTAAATGTGTTCAGATGAAAAACTGTACAGACAGCTCTGTTTAGTGTTAAATTTACCGAGCATTCATGTGACTAAACCAATTTGTTGAGATTGTCATAGCTTAACCTGTCATTCTATGGAAAAAATTAGTAGTATTACAATTCTGAATGGTGGAATTATGAGGCCAAAATATCTTCTCTACAAATGAAATGTATGATTCACATATTTGATCAAATCTGCCAGAGTCTTAACAACAGATACTAAAGCTAGCCACACTTGTGTGACCTAACAGAGAGGGTCCCATTAATAATTTTGTTCTCAGCCCTAAAGATGCAAGAGATGGCCCAACTTGTAGACCACTCTTTGCAGTTTTTAACTTGCTACGAGAAAGGTAGATGACAGAAAAGAGGAGGAAATTTGGAAATTGGGAGTGGGCCACATCATTAAGAGTTAATGCTCATGTCAAACTTGTTTGTTTTCCACAAAACTTCAGAAGTCAGGAAGCGTAGGAGGACATGACAATGAAATGATGTGCCTTTATTCGGAAATGAAAATAAAAGTGAAAAAAATGTGAGTCCTGGTGCTCAAATTCTAATTAATAAATAGTCCAAGTCAAATGGAGAAAGTAAGTAATTAACACACACACACACACACACAGTTAGTTTTAACTCAAGTCGATCATGGGTCAGAGGCTGACAATTCACTTCAGAGGATGACAGTATAACAAAAACATACCAACTACTGTTTAACAGGGTTGGAAGAGGGTTAATGCAAAAACATTTCTTAACTATGGAGATATTTAAGAGAATGGCCTAGCTACTATTTCTATTCAACAAATGGAAATAGCCTGTCCAATTTGGCCAAAAATATTATCACAATATATATTTCCCCCAAATCATACAATATCAATATTTATCACAATATTCATTTAACATTAATGGGAATGGAAATGCTTTCCACATGTTTGTTAAACTTTTAATGAATGTAAACACAACTCGTTTGATCACAAATTAACTCTACAGAGTAGCATTGAGAAGTACATGTTAGTAAAAAAAAAGTAACATTTATACCACAATTTCTTTAGGTTAAATCAGAGGTCACATTAACCGAAAATTTTCCGTCATTTACAGAATTTCTTTTTAGCAGTGACGGAAAAATCTGAAGGTCGTCCGTCACTTTGACAGATTACACTGAGGGTGATCTATTGTAATTTATAGCTGTAATTCCCACCCCTGTCCAGTGTGGCAGCAGAGCGTGGGATCATCAGCCTCCAGAACAAAAATAAAACTGTCACGAGTCTTTTGCTATGCGTTTGATTACGCACAGGCGAGAACCCACTAGTAAAGCGAAAGAGATGATCAGTTCACGAGCGCTGCCGCTTCGCTTGATCTGAGGTGTCTACAGCGACCTATCACGCCACATTAAAGAGCGCCAAAACAGTATTTATTGCTTGAATTTCCTAATAAAATGGACAGAATTTGAAATCTGAGACTTTGTTTCATATCAAAAGTAACAACGCACAAAGTTTAGTCTATTGGATGGGAGGCGCACTATATGTATGGTTCATTCATCAACTGAAAACAGAATCGACTGGGATTTAAGAATCGATATTGGTTCATAAAAATGAGAATCTATTAAAATCGAGAAATCTTTTTTTTTTTACCCAGCTCTAGCATATTTAATTGTTTTTAGTGGCCTCTGCTGTCACTGTGTGTGATGTTGAACATGAAAATTTTACCGTCTCTGTTGAGTCTATTGCGATTTATTGGATGGGAGGCGCACTATATGTATGGTTCATTCATCAACTGAAACGGAATCGACTGGGATTTAAGAATCGATATTGTTTCATAAAAATTAGAATCTATTAAAATCGAGAAATCAATTTGTTTTACCCAGCCCTAGCATATTTAGTTGTTTTTAGTGGCCTCAGCTGTCACTGCGGGGTGTTGAACATGAAAAGTGACGTGATAAATAAATGTATAAGCCTATATGCTCGTCCTGTAGGTTTCATTATTAAAAATGAAAATGTGAACAAAAAAACAAGCAATTAAATGTGTTATTATAATTAAAATATCAAAATTAAAATGACGGATAATAATAGATTATGACAGAATTTTTACGACCCTGACAATGTTAAAGTCGAACGCAACTTCTGGGTTAAACCACACTTTTGTATTGGTGGTTTGTCGTGAAGATTGTAATTTAAGATCTCTGAGTGTATATTTGATGGTAGTTTTGTGAAAAGCTTGTGAAGTGAGCCTCAGAACAGCTCTGGAAATATGGACTGTCCTCATATCTTTGAAACGACACGTGTGCTTCATTTTGTGTTGTAGACAAAACTGTGCCACTCAAAGACCTTAATCAGGTTTGATGCCATATTGAATTTAATGCTTATGAAAACAAGGTTGTGAGGGATAACACTGTGTCCTACGATGCCGCGACATGTGATAAAAGGTATCTTTTCCATGAGATTTTCCATCAGAGTTTTTGTCCTAACCAGCCACAACAGCGACACGCAATATTTCTATTTTTAAACGGTTTCTATGTCTGCGATGTTGCGGCTGGAGCAACATACAAACTGACAGTGATAATCTCAGGTACTGATTATGTGCTTTATTCAATGTTAAGTGTCTAATGTGAGTTTGAATATCATATTGCATGACATTTATAGCTTTACTGAAAGCAACAACAGATAGTTTACCTCAGATCTTGAAAATTAATTAAAGCAAACATGTACGTTAAAACTGCGAACCAACAAGTGTATTCCATAAAGATGGTATCAGTCACTCAGTATGTAAATATAATAATGTTAAAAGGTTTAATATTTATGAATGAATTTTAAATATCCATTTTATTGCAAGTGCAGTGTGCTTCCAGAGAGAGCCCGCGCACACACGCTTTTGATTGGCTGTGATATTTGATTGATTCTGTCACGTCGCATTGTCGTGTCATGTCTGGTGTGGACAGCCAAATTGGTTGTCATTGGAATCTTGTCACGTCACGTGCAGTTAGGACACGGTGTTACAGTCTTTACAATGGCACGCATTGTTTAAAGATCCTAGATCAAGTAATTTTCCCCACTCACAACTTTCAAGTTTTTGTCTGCTGAAAGATTTTGTCAGAAAGACGTTTCATCAGCTAAGTAATATTTGTTTATTAATGTTATTAAACAGGTTACATCACATGTTTGATGGGAATGAGAATATACTCCATGGTTTTATTTCATTTCCATCAAAAATTAAATATTGCGCAAACTGGAGTAAGGTCTTTTCACACAGAACATGTAGACTTACTAGCAACATGCACAGACTGCCTATTGTCCCATTTATTTCTGCTGTTAGACTGATCCATAGAGTAAATGTGTCCAGCGCTTATCACCGTTAACAACAAATGTTATCGCAATCTTGATATGATATTGTTTATCGCCCAGCCCGGCAGCTCAAAAAAAGACATAAAAGTGGTCCATGCAATTGATATGCTATATTCCAAATCTTCTGAAGCAAAAAATTTCTCTCTTCAAATAGCTCTCAAATGTCAATCTTCTCAAGATGTGTCAGACCTGGTTCGACAGCTCTAACATCAAACATCTTGCATTCGAATGATGACTCACAAAATGGCTTTAGAAGAATGCAGTCGCACATACATCTTTTTTTTTTTGTCCATCTTGGAGTTTGACAGTATACATTTCACTTTTACTATAAGGAAAAACAGCAGTGTAGACATTGTTTAAATATCCACTTCTGTGCTCCACAATAAAAAGAAACCATGAGTTGGGAATCTCATGAGGACTTTTTTGGGTGACATAGATCAAAATGATTTTCAGAGCATCTTGTGAGATCAACATTTAACACAACTTTAGACAAACCTAATAATATATGTACAGCCTATAGTCAGCACTAAACGAGTATTAGCTCCACTATTAAGGCCCAGACACACCAAAGCAAAATCAAAGAACTACCATGTCGCCTACATCTGGGCCAAAAAGTTGCACTTGAACACAATGCAAAGACCATCAGTCATCAGCTAACTAGCACATATATTCTAGCCTCTGCATGAGAGGAAATAACTCTCCATACCAGCAGGTGGCAGTAGCCTTCATCATTTAAAAAGGGAAACCAGTAGAGCTAGGATTGCGGATTTACAAAACGTAACCAAAGTAGTGCTTGCTTACCATTTTTGTACCAATTTCGCTCACCACAGATGGATTCATAATACAGCTCCTTCAAGTAAGTCAAAAAAAAATTGCAAATGGCAAAAGCATTGCCATTCTTTGTTTGCTTGCTTTTGTTGCTTTCGTTACTTTCAAGCTGAACAGCCAATCAGATTGATCTCTGCCACCCATTCAACAAGCTCAACTGGTCAAAAAGCTGCACATGAGGGTCTGACTAATGCCAACGGAGTGGAACACCATGCAAAAACCAGGCTAACAGATGCTCAACGATGGCCTGACAATGGCTTATTTTGGCATGGCCTTTAGAGCAGACTAAACAGTGCATCTTACTAATAGACAATCAACACGGGCAAAGCCTGTAAATCATAGATCAATGCCACATCATCTGAAAATGACTAGAACCAAACGCACAACAACACTGCAGAGGTGGTGCTCGGCGGATGTTTATCATGCTAACTCTCAAAACAGCTGCAAACACTTTCCATAATCATTACTAATGTGAAAATGTGGCTTTTCCCGCCTCACTCTCGCAATCCCAAAGGGCAAAGAGGGTGGGAGGGTGAAAGTGAACTTCTGGAAGTTATTACAGAGAGTCTAGTGGGGCTGGATGATGTGCAGTAAAGACAGGAATGCTGGCAGGTGGGCAACATGCATCTCGCTGGAACGTGGA